GTCAAGCCTCTAATGACTGCTGCCCAGGCTAGCACTGTAATTGCAGCCTTGTAAAAGACCCTGGGCTAGAATCACCCAGCTAAGCTATTCCTGGATTCCTGATGTTATGTATACTGTTTTACGACGTTAAGTTTTAGGGTAATAAAATACACAGCAATAGGTAACTAATAATTTCTGAATCACTTATTCTGCCATTACTGGAAGCCAGAATTGTCTACGTTCATTTAACCATCACATTAGCTATTGTCTCAGTTGCACAGATTAAAAAAAATCAAAGTGTGGCAGATATTGAATTAGTCACCAAAAAGTCACTCACAGTCCTTTCTTCTCTTGTATTCCTCTAGCAAGAGACTCAAAAACTAAAATACCTTCCCAGATTTCCTTGCATTTAGTAGTAGCCTTCTAACATTATTGACTGAGACAGGTAAAAGTGTGTTGAAAAAGCGTTTCTCTTGCTGAACAAAGGACAAAGCCCTAGGAAAAGGACTTTGGCCTATTTTCTTTTATCCTGTATTGCTTTTATCCTCATGGCAGCCTGAAGATTAGCAGTCATCTTTCAGTCATGAGGATAAAACCTATAATCTAACACGTGGAAAAGGAAAATAGGAGCTCAGATCCATAATGATTCCATTGAGTTGCTGTCTCTTCTCGTTATGTCCGCCTTCAGACTTCCTTTTGCCTGAAACAAATAGACCCCTTATTCCTTCAAGCCATTGCTTTGCTGTTTGAAACAGAGAACATTCCTAACTAACATACTGACATAAGAAGAGGTAACTCAAACCCAGGTCGGCTGACTTCTAGCCCTACACTCAGATGGTAAACATTACCATCTGAATAAACACAAAATCTAATTTAAAGTAGGTTTTCATCGAAAACATGGCCAGGTGTCCTACAGCTAGGAGTAAGTCCTGGTCATGTCAGAGTCAGGAAATTGTGTTCGACTCCTCCTATTTATTGTCAAACTTACCTACTTTTTCATCTTGAGATGCTATGTTCTGGCTTCCACCCCTACTACTTCACCAAAACTATCTTAAGGATATCAATTGCTTCCTTTGTCACAAGATCCACTGAATATTTTTTTTGGCTCTTAATCTCTCTACAGAACATGACATTTGTTGACTACTTACTTTTGTTTAAAATACCCTTCCTTCTTGGATTTCACATTTCAATTTTATCCCCTTCCTATCTACCTCTCTCCTTATCAATCTTGTCCTTAGCCTAAGCATCTTCTGCCTGTCCTCTAAATAAAGATACTATTTAGGATATTACTACAGGCCCTCTTGTCTCTGGATTATGTCCATTCCCATCGCTTAAATTTGTAGGTGATGACTTCCCAGTCTAGAACTTCATCCAGAACTTTATCCTGAGTGACAATCTTTCATATCCATCAATTGCCACATACCCATTTGGAGGACCACAGAAGCCTCACACTCAACATGTCAAAATCTGTACACATCGCATTCAAATTTATACCTAATTATCTTCCATTGCTTCCTAACCTATGAAAAAATACTACCAACCATCAGACCAGAGCTTGAGTGGTTTCTGTCACTGCCCAAGTATAAGCCCACTTCATCTCCCCTCTGGCTACTGAATTACCCTTCTGAATGGTTTTTCCAAATCTTCCTGTTTCCCTCCCTCTCATCTCATGGCTTCTGTACATGGTTTCTGTACATTAAGTTCTACTGGAACACAGCCATGTCCATTCACTTATATGTCTATGATGCTTTTGGATTACCATGGCAGAGTTGAGTATTTGTGACAGAAGCCACCTGGCTCTTCATAGAAAAAGTTTGCTGACTTCTGCTTTAAACTGAGGCCATAACCAAAATAAAGGTCATAAAGATAAAAATCCATAACAGTTCAAGAAGCCATGATGTGATTCCTGTCTACCATTCCTGTATCTCTTGTTACATTCCCTTCTGTTGTCTATGCTTCAACCATACTGTACTTCATTCAGCTTTTTGAGTGCAGCCTGCTCACTTATTTCAGGGTCTATGTGCTATATCTTTTAGAAAGTTCTCCTCCATTCCCTCTTTCACTTAGTTCACCTCTACCTTTTTTCATATCTCAACTTAAACATCGCTTCTTCCATGCAGCCTTCCATGAACTCCCCAAACTAAATAAGTCCATTGACTCCTAGGGCCTGTCTGATAACATCCAGTTGTTATGCAGTTACATAATCAGTGTTGTCCTCCACTAGACTGTAAGCAGACACTGACCCTATCTTGTTCAATGTGGCATCCCCCGCACTTAGCGTAGTATCTGGCACACATTAGGCAATTAATCAATATTCCTTCCTTGTTCTACCTCACTCTACTGAATTCTGTCAAGTCTCTTCAGATCCTGTCCACATCTCTCTGTTCCCACCACAACTCCCCTATTGGAGCAAACCATCATGTTGTATCTGGACTCTTTCAACAGATACCTAGCAGGTTTCCTCACCCTGAATTTTTCTCCACAGTGCAGCCAGACCGATTTCTCTAAAATGCAGATCTGACCACATCACTCTAATGTGTAAAACCCTAAAATGGCTTCCCACTCTGAAAAAAGTCTAAAACCCTTAGAATCGCTCGCAAAACTCTTACTAATTTAGATTTTACTTACCCCTCAAAAACACCTATGCTTAGAGTCAGAATGATTCCCATTCAGGTCCATAACTACAAGTGCTCTCTCAACTCTCTGGAAACAATATTCCCTACGCCTGCATGAAACACTACTTCCTACACCTTCTCTTTCACTCAGATAACTCACACATAATATGGAGGTATGATCAACATCTCTAACCCCTGGAAGCCTTTTCATACTCCCAAGTCTGGTTTAGAGGGCTCTTCCATTGCACCTTCGACTTCCCACCTCTTCCCTCCCCAACACACACATCATTTGTGGCATTAATCACACAAAGCCATGTGAGAGAAGGGTCTATCCGACTTATTTCCTATTGTATTTCCAGTATTTATTTCAGCACACAAGAGGAGCTCAATAATTATATACTAAATACATAAATTTAAATGCTTCAACACTGAAGCAATTTTTCATGATTTCAAAACAAAACTTTGAAAGATTCCATTAAATCGTCTTATTAAACCTTATGTGACTTTAGGCCAGGTGTGGTGGCTCATACCTGTAATTCCAGTACTTTGGGAAGTCAAGGTGAGAGGACTGCTTGAGCCCATGAATTTGAGACAAACCTGGGCAACATAGCAAGGCCTTGCCTCTACAACAAATTTTTTAAAAAATTACCCAGCTGTGGAGGCACAACTCTGTAGTCCCAGTAAGTTGGAAGGCTGAAGCAGGAGGATCACTTTAGCCCAAGAGTTAGAGGTTGTGGTGAGCAACAATCATGCCACTGCACTCCAGCCTGGGTGACACAGAGAGACCCCAATTCTAATAATAATAAAAATAAAATAATAATAATAATAATAAAATAAATAAATCTTATGTGACTTGATCCTACAAATCCAACATGAAATCTGCATTCATCCAACCAGTATTCCTACTTATCAACTTATATTGTACCACTATATATTACATTTATCTCTAATCACCGAACTCTGAATTAATTTAGCAGTCTAACTTCTATCCTTCAGATGCTATCTCAGGAGTTCTTTAAAGTCACAGAAACTTTCTAATTGGCTCCACTAAATGTATGGCTTTTAGCCCAATGGACTTCCAATAAGGAAAAGCACCTCTGACCTCTGAGGTGCTTTTCTTTATTTCTGGCCTTCTCCTAGCATTTGTTTAACTATTATCACTTATCCCAAGCCCCCAGATATGCTAGGCTTGCTCACTCTCAACACACGGTCCTGCTTTTCTGTCACCAAGAGGAAATCAAACACAAATTCCCTTATTTTGTTCCTTTCTTTCCTTTCTCCTGTGTCTTGCCCTTCCTCTCAAACTGAAGCTTTTATCTGTGCTCTTGACCACACTCCTTCTGGTCTACTCTTGGGCTCTGCCTCATCAATTTTAATATTTTCACACCTTACATTAATATAACCCACACAAGGTCCCATTGTGCCTTTTCACTGTGTTGCATCAGCTGAAGTCACTCTTTCACACTTGATGTGCCTCATTAATAGGGAGCCTGGGGTGCCATAAATAGAGAGGTGATCATGTTGCTATCCTGCCCACTCCACTCATCCCTGTCAAACTAGGCAGTACTTGATACTATCTAGCCAGATCACAAAGCAGAGGAAAGAACTATATGCTGTGAATGGAACTGAGACACAGTTACAAGTCATTAGCTCTCCCACCACCATCGATTATCAAGCATACCCACCACTGAATACCTCCTGCCTCGGTTGGTTTGATTTTAGTGGCTAAAACCATGCTTTGGCATCCCTCTAATCCCCCACCACCCAACATGACTTCAAATACAAGCCAAAGACAACATTTTAAAGTCAACAGTTACAATCTGGAAATGGTATAGAGTCTTAGGCCATATCTCTTCCCTTACTGTTGTTACTGCTAAGCCTTTAGTGCTTTTAGTCAGCACATTTTATAAGTCTCAGAAATAAATACCTATCAGAATACATAAAACAGAGAGAAAGATCTGAGAATGGAAATGAACTGCTAGCTGATAAATGGCTGGTGAGCTATAAGATGGAGGGGTGGGGTGAAGATTGTCAATTCAAACAAGACCACAAACCACTCAAAATAAACAATGTCATAAAGTACATTAAATGTCTGAAGTCTAGCTGGGAACTTTCAGAAAACAGCAGAGATCACAGCAGTGTTCTCCAGATCTACACACTCATTTCCTTCTACTACTACCAAAAAACCACACACTTAGTAAAGGCTTGCACTGGTTATGAAATAAGGACAGAAGAAACTAGCTCTGCAAATAAAAGACAAATGGCAAACAAACCTTTTACATTTTCTATCCCCTATAGCATCTACTAGTTATGTTATGATTTCTTTGCAGTCATGCTCACTCACATACATTACTGTCAATATCTTTTAAAAAAAAAGAAAAAAGAAAAACATGTAAGCATTAAACATTTTAAGGACCTTTCACAAACCAAATGACAGTAGGCTTTTATTAACATATCTTACAATGTTGATTATTTCTAGTTTTGTGATTTCTGCTTAATTATAAAGACTGATTTAGCTTCTACAGTAATGTACTGTATTTAAATGATCATTCATACAAGATATCACACCAGTACATTTTTTTGAATAATATACACACATCACTCTAACTTGGACCTGTTATTTTTAAAAGTAGATTTATAAATGGGGCTTATAAAAGTTATGGGGAAAAAATTAAAGTTCTAGTTTAGCAGCATGCATGTATGTATTCAAGTACAATTTTCAATCAAGTGCTTTTTTAAAATTTACTGGTGACTAATTCACCAATATCAAAATAAACACTATCAAATACCCAAATTTTAAAGTTAAGGCTAATATTTTCACTTCACATCTGTATGCACAACCATAAAACATTCCATTTTAAATAAGTAGTAATCAAAGCCTGAATACATTATACCGTGTATATATAGCATCAGCGTTTCAGACTGTAGAATTATTCAAGTTCATGAATCTTGTAATAGTATGTACTAGAGATGTAAATTAGCATTTTGCTCTTCAACCACACTTACAAATGGTCTGTTATTCATAATGATCAATGCAAAAAATATGACAGGCTGAACTTATGATACAGTACTTTAAAAAGTAGCAATGTGTTGGAAAGGACAGCTATTTAGTCCAAAAGAATCATTTTAGTCTTACAGAAAATTATCTTAATATTTGGGAAATGTATATAAAAAATAGCAAGCTATTTCCATGTATTTTATTGTAGAGCTATAGGTAATTTTTTGACTTTTTGAACACATTTGAATATGTACTGCTCTGCTTTCCCTATTTCAATGCAAGGCCATCATATAATGTCCATTTTCATATTCTGCAATATTATGTCATTACAAAATGTTTTTAGAACATGGGTCTGATGTTATTTTTATAGTTTATCATTCGTTTTTTAGTTTATTTTTACATGTAAAAATGTAATTTTATATAACAAGTCATGGAAGTTCAAAGTACCAGGAATTGCTTGACAGCACTATATGTGAAATACTCATCAAATTACCCAATCATTTGGGGAAAAAATCTTGGTAGCAATATATAGCATGCTTTTCTGTAATCTTCCTTCCCTACTTATAGAGTGGTTTTAGTTCAATCATTCCCATTCTTACTGATGTAAAAACACTACACACATAAATTGCTTTTCACAGCAGTTTCTAAAAGAATGCAGATACACAGCTCATACATAAAGGTCATCACCACTGAGCCTTTTTTTCCTTTTAGGAAACCAAGCAGAAATAGCAGTGATTACACTGCACAAACAAAAAATAGCTGAACCTCCTGAGCTGATAGGAAAGTTCCAAAACTTATGGTTCATTTGTGGGGAAGTCTGAGCATTTCTAATCCAATCATATAAACAAAACCTTGGTTGGTAATAAAAGACGGGCATGCACAGAATCAAAATCTGCCATGTGTATGTTTTTGAACCATGTGTATGTTCTTGAACAGTAAAATCTATTTGTTACTACCTCTAGTAATTCACCCAACTGAAATGGCAAATTAAAAATTTTAAGGACCTCCCCAACCACACATATGCCCCCCAAAATGTACTGTATTATATTAACAGCAGCTATCTACTTATTTTACAGTTATTTCAATTATTTACCTGGGGAGAAGATTTATGAAATTCCTGAGAATGAATTAAGTTTTTCAGCAAAGCCTTAAACTTTTAACAGATTCCTCACAATAAGAAAACATTTTAAAGTTCTACTATTAGACCAACTTTTACTATACAATATTTCACATAAATCATGTTTTACATTTTTTTCTAATTACATACAGCAAAATTCTCAAATCAACACAAGAATGGCAGAGGAAAAAGATGCATTATGCTTAGCAGATGCAAATTAAAATACACAGACAGAAAGAAGCAGTAAAATTTCAAATAAATCACACCCACTCTAAGTATCAATGAATAGCAGATATACACTGTTGGGAGAATCATTTCTGAATGATTTTGTGAACAAGTTGTGCTTCTTATTAATTGTGCACTTAAAAAAAAAGACCACTAAAGAATAATTTAACTTGTTATTTGTTATATTCTCCAGATACTTAAAAAAAAAATTATACCATTAATGTAATTACCAAGCACCTAATTTTGGAAAGGCTTCATAATGTATGTTTTCTGTTTTCCCTCAGCAAAAGTGTTAATCCCCCAAATTAAGTTAAAGCTTATTGTTGATAAAATAAATTCTTAATGGAAATAATGATATAATGCAATGCTGAGGTGGTAAGTCACAGCCCATTGTAATGTGGACCCCATCTTTTATTGATGTGATCAAAAGTATGAGAAATCCACTGCTGCTCAAGAACTTTGTATCTTTCCTTACAAATGTAGAGAGGTTTGCCTCGCCTAGAATAAAGAGAGAAAAAAAAAGCATTAAAAGTAATGCAACACAATGAAGATTTCAAATGCATTTTTCTTTTTAATAGTTTTTTTGTGGCAAAAATTTCACATAGTAATTCATGTTTCCTCAGCATGTTGCTAGGGAAAATATCTTGAAAACTAGAAATAGCTCTAAATTAATGACAATCAGAACTTCTTAATATTAAAAAAAATTGTAATTACAAAGCCAGGAATGGTAAATTGGTTTTTACTGACCAAACTTAAATGAAACACCTGGATATATCCATGCAAATCTAACCTAAGATCTCGGTCTTCCTCTCCATGAGCATCCAAATATACAGAACCCCACAGGCAGAAGCGGTGACCTCGAATGATGATAATCACTGATGCATTGATCAAAAGGAAAATCCCTGTTCCAGCACCACAGTTCTGGGAATGCTAAAAAAATTAAAAACATATCAATTAGCTTTATAATTAAATAGGTTTTGTAACAAAATCAAGAATATCTGAATTAAATACCCTCAAAACAATACAAAGATGTTTAAAATGTTTATAATATTTCATCTAAGTTAAACTTATACCCCTATCCCCAATACTTTATTATTAATGCACAGTGTTAGGAAGAATTTGGCTAAGGATTATCTAGGAAAGCAATTAAGAGACAACCTAATTCAGAGTCTAGTATCCCCAACAGCACAGATTACTATTGCTTCATAGCACATTTAAAGGACAGTAGGAGAAAGGAGAAAACTGGAACTGTACTCAAGGAAGGTTTTACTCAAATAAAGCCTCAGAGACTTTCTTTTTCAATCCTTCTATTGGACTAAAGCAAAAACAAAAATAAAACACAATCCTTAGATTTAACTGTAGACTTAATTCAAAGAGTAATTAAATTTGAAGAACTGGCATGACCATATATACCACTTTTCCATGTAATATGCATTTTGAGTTTTTGTAAATTTGACATTATTTACTATTACTTACCAATACACATTCGCAGTAACTTTGTTGCTTGCAGCAGAGTCCTTTCAGGCATACAAAAGTACCACAAACAAGGCAAACAGCAGGATCTTTAGGAACCTTGGTGCAGACACTACAGGTTTTTCTGTGGTAGTACTGAAAAATGGTGTTATAATTCTCAGGCAACTGTAGTAGGTGTGGTAATTTCCATCTTGACTCTTGAATAAGCAAGGCCTAAAACATTATCCAAAAATTTGATTAGTCCTATGTATTTAAATCACTAACACAAAATACTTATTTTATAAAAGGATCTTTTACTTAGAAATAAAAATCTGCCGCCAAGAATGTGACTTATCTTCTTATTAACACTCCTCTCATTTCTATTTTATAAATGACTAAAATAGTACTTCAACAATTACCGTCCTCTATTTTCTTTTTATCTTTTTTGAGTTGGAGTCTCACTCTGTCGCCCAGACTGGAGTGCAGTGGCCACTCCCGGCCGCCGCAGCCTCGACCTGCTAGGCTCAGGCAATCCTTCCACCTCAGCCTTCCAAGTAGCTGGAACTACAGGCGTGCGCTCCCACGCCCAGCTAATTTTTGATTTATTGTAGAGATGAGGTCTCGCCAAGTTGCCCCGGTGGATCTCGAACCCGCAGGCTCAGGCAATCCACTCACCTCAGCTTCCCAAAGCGAGGGATTACAGGCTGAGCCGACGAGCCCGGTTACTGACCTCTATTTTAAAGTTATTTCCAAATACAATATGATGCAATTTTTTTAGACTAAGCACCTAAAACACATAAACTTGTTATTGTATGACTTTAAAAGAGAAATATTAACTACCTCTAAGCATGCAGGGAAAATATATCTAAGTGTATTTGACTTTAAATATGCATAATGCAAGTTTTAAAAAGCTATATTTTTTTAATATGACTTTTCTCAGATGAACAAGCAATTAATTAGCTTTTTCTTGAGAAAAGATTAGTTATAACTCATTATTTCTATTTTAATACTCTGTCATTTAGAAACTTCCTCCTAGAATATATATAATTCAGGACACCTCAAGTTATAAGATCTTTTGTATCCATAAGTACAGTCGCTAAAATTCTTTTATTGCTGTAAGAATGAAAAAAAATGTCAAATTAATCAAATTTCCCTGCTGGATTTACTTTATCCACTATTTGCAATTGCATAAAAATACTGGCAAGTCTAGGCAATACAGCAAGACCTTGTCTCTATAAAAAAATAAAAATATTAACCAGGCATGGTGGTGAACAACTGTAGTCCAAGCTACTCAAGAGGCTGAAAGAATGGATCACCTGAGCCCAGGAGGTCGAGACCAAAAGGTGAGACATGATGGCCATTCCAGAAAAAGTTCTGATGGCCATTCCAGAAAAAGAGTTCCAAGACTGCTTTGATGGGTGAACTGGCATTGGCACTGGTGCATAGCTTCCTAAAAGGAGTATTTCAAAAGTGCCCGTAGTGATATTCAACAATGAGGAATGTAGTAGCATTTTTTCTAGGATGTGTTTGCGAACTTAAATGTCAGACCTCATAAAGTTATGTATATCTGGTAACCAAATCCTATGCATTTTTCTCAAATGTCTTGAAAAATAGTTACTTCCCAAGTTTTACTATCAGAAAAACAGTCCAGATTTTCTTCACCATATAAACAATCTGTGGCTTCCCTCTCTTACTCTAATTTAACTACTAAAAGCCACCAGAATTACCTCCTCAAAACATACTTTCATCATATTATTTCATTTCTTTAAAAACTGTAGTTCTAGACACAGAAAAAGTCTGAGCCCCCAAGCATGACATACATAGTCACCCACTGCTGCCCCCTCTACTCTCCAATTCATTCATCTTCCATAGAAACCCTTTTACTACTTGAACTAGTAGCACAGAGTCAGCACACTTTAGATCTGCTAGTCCAATTTGTTTTTTTAATATAAGGCATTTCTCTCACAAATAAGAATATAAGTTCCTCATCTACCTTAAAATTCCTTTGTATCATCCAAATTTAATGCTATGATTATTTAGGTATTCAATAAAAATCGGCTGACTGAAAATGAAAAAATAATGACATACATTATTTTGTTAAATAAAATATTTCTGCTTTTATACTCATAAATGAAATATATATAAGCCCTTTTTCAATTTAATCAGTTTAATAAATGCTGCCAAGAACAGATGACATGAAATTTTAAATTCTCCATTATGCTCTTGCCTATTAGTATATCACCATTGTGGCAAGTGAGTACTTCTCTTTTTACATACCTTTCCTTGTTCTGCATGTCTTTCAGTAAATGATTTTATCTCAAAACACCACTGAGTTATAATATCAAATGCTGGAACTGGCCAATCCAGACAGGAGGCACTGATGAATGGATGTTCTGTTTGGTAAAATGTTGGCAGAAGTCCCAGACAGCTGGCAAGAACTGAAAATTCTTCTTCTTCCTTTTAGACATGAAACAGAAAATTCTCAAGCTATTTCATCAAGAATATTTCCTACTATAAATATTTTAAGTGTCATCCCATCAACTACTTTGGGACAATAAGATAACTTTCTTTACTGAGTCGACTAGAAAAAAATGAAGGGAGTAGGAGGGGCAAAAAGAAAAAGGTTCCTAGCTATCATATCCAAATATCCCCGAAATATTTCTCTAAAATTTAACTCCTAGGTGTCACATCTGCTTCTTTTATACGTTTATTTTATTTTTTTGAATTGGAGTCTCTCACTCTGTTGCCCACGTTCACAGTCACTGCAGCTTTGACCTGCTGGGCTCAGGTGATCCTTCCGCCTCAACCTTCCAAGTAGCTGGAACTACAGGCATGCGCCACCATGCCCAGCTTATTTTTTGATTTATTGTAGAGATGAGGTCTCACCAAGTTGCTGAGGCTGGTCTCGAACCCGTGAGCTCAGGCAATCCTCTCATCTTGGCCTCCCGAGTGCTGGGATTATAGGCATGAGCCACTGCACCCAGCCACATTTATTCTTTAAATAGAGTCATCACATATCTGATGATTCTACATAATATAAAATTAGCTAGTCTATGAAAGCAAATGTTAATTTGAGGTAAAGAAAAAGCTACTTTTGTTTAAAAACACATAGGTTGTCAGTGAGGGAAAAAACAATAGTTTTTTATATGAAATTCACAAGAGTACTAAATAATTTGCCTAAACTTTTGTTTAAAAATTCATTTTAGCCCGCGGGTTCAAGACCCGCCTGGGCAGCGAGACCTCATGTCTACAATAAATCAAAAAAAAAATCAGCCGGGCATGGTAGCGCATGCCTGTAATTCCGGCTACTCGGAAGGCTGAGGCGGAAGGATCGCTGGAGCCTAGCAGGCGAGGTTGCGGTGGCCGGAAGCGGTCACTGCACTCCAGTCTGGGTGACAGAGTGAGACTCCAACTCAAAAAAAAAAATTCATTTTAGAGTCACGGGGCACATGCGAAATTGCTAAGTATAAATAAATAGCATAAGGGTGAAGTTTGGGCTTCTAGCGACACCTCTCCTTCTCTACTAGTGGATATGGTACCCAATGGGTGGTTGTGTGTTCCTTATTCCCCTTCCCTCTGGACTTCAAATGAATGTGAAACAAAGTCAGTTTTTTAAAAAAGGGGTGGAATTTTTAAAAGACTTGAGAGACCTAGGAGCCAGGTAATCTGAGGCTCACTTACTAAAGAACCAAAAATATTAGTGGCCAAGGACATATCCTTAAAGTTTATTTTTAAAGAAGTTGATTAGTCTTTTTTTTTTTTTTTTTTTAAGTTGGAGTCTCACTCAGTCGCCCAGACTGGAGTGCAGTGGCCGCTCCCGGCCCTGCAGCCTCGCCTGCTGGGCTCTGGCGATTCTTCCGCCTCAGCCTTCCGAGTAGCGATTAGTCTTTTAAACACAGAAATATATTCTCCAATTCTTCTGAATTTAACTGAAAGACCTTATAGGAAGCTTGTGTGTCTACTCCCCCTTGTACATTAAATCAATCCTATTATCTTCTAAATTCCAGCTCCCTACGGAAGTCTTTCTTGACCCCATTTAATGAGACCTCAGACCACCCAGCTCCATTCAGATCAAATTAATCCCTCCATACCTTGTAAACACTTTTTATTACTGCACTTATATTTTCTATTAATAACTTTAAAAATAAATTAGCCTTCCTTATGAGACTGTAAGTTCTCTAGATGTAGGAACTCTGTCCTAATGCTTGGCACATAGTAGACATTCAACAAATGTTTGCAAAACTGAACTAATTATGCACATTAAGTACAAAATTCTGAAATACGCCATAAGGAAGAAATAAAGATGAATAAGAAAATGATACACAGGCTGAAAAAGATGCTAATTTTTTTAAAAAAATCTCTAGAAATAAGGCTACAAACCCTCCATTCATACTGCTACACAAAAGCATTTTTAAAAACAACTTTACTGAGGTGTAATTTACATACCATAAAACTTAACCCATGTAAACTATAGTTTGACGCATTCTGGTAAATGTACAGTCATGCAACCACCATAACAACAACATTTTAGAACAATTCCATCACCCTCCGAATTCTGCTTGTGCTCCTATGCACCAATCCTAGTCCCTATTCCTAGACCTGAGCAACCACTGATCTGTTTTCTGTCATAACAGTTTTGACTTCTTAAAAAATTTTCTATAAATGCAATAATACAGTATGTAGTCTTTTGTGCCTGGTCTCTTTCACCTAGCATATTCTGAGATTTGTTCATGTTTTTGTGTTTATCAGTATTCCATTCCTTTTAATCATTGAGTAGTATTCCACTGCATGTACCACATTTTGTTCACATATTTACCTATTGATGGTTGCTTTCAATTTTTCAGTATTATGAATTAGGCTGTTATGAACACCCATTTATGTAGACATAAGTTTTCATTTCTTCTGGTAGATAGCTACAAGTAGAATTGCTAGATTGTACAGTAAGAATAAGCTTTTTTTTTTTTTTTTAAGAAAGTGTCAAACTTTTTCCAAGTTGACTATACCACTTTGCATTCCTACCAGTAATGAATGAGATTTCTAGGTACTTCGAATCCTCACCAACACTTGGTATTATCACTTGTAACTAATTTGCACTTCTCTAATGAACAATGATTTAAAGCACCTTTTCATTACTTGCTGGTCATTCATATATATTCTTTTGAATAGTCTATTCACATTTTTTGCCCACTTCTGTGTTGGATTTTTTGTTTTCTTATTGTTGAGCTAAAAGAGTTTTTAATATATTCTGGATACAAGTCTATTGTCACACACACTGAGACACAATTCACCTACCATAAATGTCATTCTTTTAATGGGTTTTTTTTTGGTATATTAATGAAATTGCACAACCACTGCCACTATCTAGTTCCAAAATATTTTCATTATCCTATTGTAAATGGAATTATTTAATTTTCAGATGCTCACTACCAGTGTATAAAAATTAAATAAAATTTTGTACATGTATCTTTATTCTGCAACCATGCTGAACTTTTTTATTAGCTCTAATAGGTTTTTTTTTGAAGATTCCTTATGATTTTCTACATATAATATCATCTGATTTGCAAACAAAGACTGTTTTACTTCTTCCTTTCCAACCTGGATATCTTTTATTACTTTTTCTTGTCTATCAGCCTTGCTAGAAAATGCAGTACAATGCTGAAAAGAAGTGGTGACATGTTGGTCTTTTTTCTATTCTTGTACCTCCTGTCTTTCTGTATTAAGTATGATGTTAAATATGGACTTTTTACAGATGCCCTTTATCAGGATGAGAAAATTGCCTTCTATCCTTAGTTTTTTAGGGTTTCTTACCAAGAAAACATGTTGAATTTGATTTTGCTTATGCCTTTTCTTTTACTAGGGATATGATCATATGCGTTTTTCCCCATTTATTCTATTAGTATGGCACATTAATTGATTTTTGTTGTTGAATCAACTGTGCATTCCTAGGACAAAACCATTTGGTCATGCCCATGTTCACTACAGTGTTATTCACAATAGCCAAGATATGAATCAATGTTAGTGTCCCTTGATGAATAAATGGATAAATAAACAGCCTTCAGTATCTATGGGTTCCACATACATGGATTCACCCAACCACGGATCAAACATCTTTTTAAAAAAGTAAAAAGTAACAATAAAAATTAATACAAATAAAGAAACAATACAGTATAACAATTATTTATATAGCATTTACATTGTATTAAGTATTATAAGTAATTTAGAGATGATTTACAGAATACTGGAGGCTGTATCACACTATTGGGTATCTGAGAATTTTGGTATCTGTGAGGATTCCTAAAACCAATCCCTAACAAGTATCAAGAAATGACTATATGCACACAAAATATTCAACTTTGGGGGAAAAAAAGGAAATCCTATCATTTGTGTCATTATGAATGAACTTGAAGGACATTATAGTAAATGAAATAAGCCAGTCACAGAGAAACAAATACTACGTGATCTCACTTATATGAGGAATCTAAAAGAATTAAACCCACTGAGCAGAGAATAGAATGGTGGTTGCCATTCTGGGAAGTGGGAGAAATGGGGAGATGCTGAACATAGAGTACACAGAGATCTAATGTACAACTACAGATCTATAGTTCATAATACTATACTGTATACTTAGAATTTGCTAATAGAGTAGAACTTAAATGTTTCCACCAGAAAATAAAGTAACTATGTGAGTTGATAGATATTTTAATTATCTATCAGTCTTGCTGGTACAACCTCAACGAAGGACAGTGGCAGTATGGCAACAACATTCAAATCTATAAAGGCAAGTAACTGCTGACTCTACAAATCACTTCTAAGCATTTATCCTACAAATGTAATTGAAAGAAAAATAACATATATGTCCCATAATTCATTGTGGTATCATTTGTAAATAGCAAAAACGAGAGAACTGATTAAATATATCCTAGTACATCATATAATTAAATATCCTGAAGTTATAAAACAAAATGAGGCAGATCTTCATGTACTGAATATGAAATGATCTATAAGATATGTTAATAGGGGAAAGATGCAAGCTGCAGAACCATGTATTAAAAAAGGGTTAAAAGAAAAAAACACCCACATAAACACGTATTTGCATATGCATAAAATGCCTCTGGAATAATATGGAGAAACTGGATAGTAATTACAGCAAATGAGTTGCTAAGGAAGAGGGTAGAAGGGAGACTTTTTTTCATAGAATAGCTTTTTGTACTTTTTAAATTTTGAAAAACGCAAACACATTGCCTGTTTAAAATGTAATTTTTTTCTTTTCTGTAAACTTAACGGTTACGGCAATATATCTATATTATTTAAAAATCAAGAAGTATAAAAAAGATATCATTACCAAAATAGATGGCTGGGTATGGGTGGCTCACACCTGTAAAATCCTAACACTTTGAGAGGCTGAGGCAGGGGGATTGCTTGTATCCAGGAGTTCAAGACTATCCTGGACAATATAGTGAGACCTCATCTCTACAAAAAATAAGAAATACTAGCCAGGCATGGTAGTCCCAGCTATTAGGGAGGTTGAGGCAGGAGGATCACTTCAGTTCAGGAGTTTGAGGCTGTGGTGACCCATGATGGTGCCACTGCACTCCAGTCTAGGCAACAGAGACCATGACTCAAAAAACAAACAAACAAACCAAAAACAGCCTCCTTTTTTCCGAGTCTTGTTTCCCTTCTATCCAAATCAACTTCTTAGGATAAAACTATATATGAATACTGTTATTTCTCTATCAGTATTTAAGTATACCTTACCTTTAGTTACTTAACATATTTTTGAGATCTTTCCAACTAACTTTCAATTCTTTTCTTTTCTGCAGAATATTCCATTGTAAAGATAAACTACAATTTACTTAACCAGTTTCTCATTGATAAATATTTGAGATGGATGTTTTCACTTTTTGCTATCCCAGTATATGTATTCAGTTACCAATAAATCAATTACTGTATTATTATACTATAAGAAATGTCTCTAGTAGAGTACTGACAGTCATAATAAGATCAAAGGGAGTGTATTATACAATATTATTTGGATCTGTACAGACTTAATACTAGAAAATTACTTGTAGTTCTCAAAAAATGTTCTGTGTGGTAAGCAACAGCATAGCCCACATAGCCCAGTTGTTAATAGTGAAGATTCAGTGTCCACACTAAATGTTTTCAAATTCTGTTTGCTTTACTTACTCACTAACTGCGAATCTTGAACAAGTTACTTCATTTCTGTGTGCCTGCCACAAGGTTTATCTTGAAGCACTTGATAAAAACAAAAGAATCCAAACTATTTGATGTAATAGTCAATTACTTAAGAAAAGAGAAGGAATAAAAACTGCTTAATTCTGATATACTTAAGGCTTCAAAGGCCATAAATATAATAAATGTTTTAATTGCCACATCAAATTCCCTGGAATCGAATGGCAGATAATGTCAGGATCCTAATACTATAAGCACATTTGGGTTTACTTACCTTCTGGTTTCCTACTCTGTCACTTTCATGTCTACTCGCACTGACAGGATAGTTTCATTAAATAGACTAAACCAGTGATAATTCACTCATCCAAGTTTTAATACCAGTGGTTATAAATCAAAGATTTTTATTGCTATAAATGTTGCCATATCTTCAAACAACCAGTTTTCTAACCAACGTAGTTTTTAAAAGAATATTAAAAGTAGATGATGTTAGTGATACAAATTCAGTAAGACTGAATACTATGGTCCTACTCAAGTACTGGGCATGTATTATCACTGAACTAATCCACAGCCACTTCAAATACCCAACCTTAGTAATATTATCATAGAAATGGGTGATGCTAACAAACACAAAATCAAAAATCATAAATATTCTAAATGTTTACTCCTTTAAATTAGATTAATATATGCTCATATGACAGTTTTAAAGAAAGAGATAAAGTTTATACTATATACCAGTGTATTTCAAAAATTAGCTTACTGTAAAAGCAAGGCACCCTACTCTCTACACCAAACTATACCTGGCAGCCAGGTAAATCTTCCCCAAAAAGGTGATGCTGAAGAAGGCTGGTGATTCTGAGAAAAGGTAGGCAGAAGTCCTGTAAGTATTTTTCTATGGATTCAGGAGACCAAGTAATAGTGCTAACCTAAAGTTAAAAAAGAAAAATTGGATAATTCATTATATAATAAATACAACTTTAAAAAATTACATTCATAAAGGCAACAAAATTTAAATTTTGTACTAAATAACCACCACATGTGATCTTAGTGAAAGCATACCATTGCACACTCCTGAGTTCCCTCTTCATGGTATAACTTCCCTTTAGAGAGTTCGCTTATCACAAAGCTCAATAAAACTTCATAGGATTTTTCTGCTTCACATGAATTCTGAAAAAAATTAAAATATTAGTTACATCAATCATTGAAAATTATAAAAAATTTACAATGGAATTCTCTTAATGAGTAAAACTGTGACTGTGTTACTTTTTAAGCATATAAACTGTCATTTTTCAAAATGTAGGTAAAACTGTGCACCTCTGGACTCACAATGGAACTGGGTAGGTGGTTAAAGCTATTCTAATGCTTCTTTAAAATATGGCATATAAATTACATAATTATATGAACATGTGTAAATTTTAAAATATGAACAAATGAATATATGTACATCATGCCTTTTGAGCCAATAATTCCTACTTTTGAGGATTCTTTCTAAGGATATACTCTAAAAGAAAAAATTGCTATATTTACAGAAGATTCATTATAGCACAATAATAGCAAAAAATTAGAACTATGACCAACAAAAGCGAGGCTATTACGTAAATTATGGAATACTAACTCAAAAAATATTTTATAGAAAGTGAATATAACAAATTTAAGATATATGAAAAATGTTCAAAATGTGAAAATTAGCAAATACAAACGTATGTATAAAATGTACATACACATGCATACTTACTATAGTAGTATAGAATATTATATAATATATTCACAGAATTGAAGAAAATATAAACCACAATTTTTTTACAACTTCCCTTAAATTCCTTGAAAAAGATTAAAATAATTTACAATAAAAAGAAAATAGGATAATATATTTATCACAGAATGATTATATTATCTTAAAGTAATTATCACAGATAATTACATTAAGTGACAGTCTACAAGTTAATCTTAATGACTGCTTTTTTTTAATAAGTAAAAAAAAATTTTATTGAGGCAGAGTTTCACTCAGTCACCCCAGCTGGACTGCAGTGGTACAATCCCAGCTCACCACAACCTCAACCTCCTTGACTCAAGTGATCCTCCCACTTCAACCTCCTGAGTAGCTCGGGCTAATGGAACACACCATCATACCCAGCTTTTTAAAAATTTTTTATAGAGACAAGATCTCATTACATTGTCCAGGCCGGTCTCAAACTACTGGGCTCAAGAGTTCTCCCACCTAAGCCTCCCAAAGCACTAGGTTCACAGACATAAGCCATGTATCCGGCCTACTCTTATTTTTTATAAGAAAGGAAAAATAATGACTATGTATAAATTCTAACTTACTTCCATAAAATCTTTGCACATAAAAAGATGCACCTCTTTTTATATTTGTTGAAGTGGAAAACAACCCACGCAAAATTTCAGTAAGATGTAAACTGGAATAAAACTGCTATGATGTCATTTATTCTACTTATCTATACTTTTAAAATACTAAAATATAAGGAAAGAAATTTACTCTAACACTATCATAGCTGGGGACTTAAATGACCACTCATAACCCTAGACAGAGCATCAAGACAAAAAATCAACAAGGAGGTCCGGAATCTCAATGTAATGATTGACCAAATGGACTTAACTGATATTTATGGAACACTCCACCCAACAACCACAGAATATACATTCTACATCACTACAAGGGACATACTCTAAGACTGACCATATCCTTGGCCATAAATCAAGCATAAACAAATTTCATAAGACTGAAATACTGCCATGCACCTTCTCAGACCACAGTGGATTAAAAATAAATATCAACAGTAACAGAGTTCCCCCCAAACCCACAAAGACACGGACACTGTACTGTACCTTCTGAGAAAAGGTAAGCAGAGGGTAAATAGCATGATGCTGAACAACTCATGGGTCAACATGGAATCAAAACAGAAATTAAAAGATTCCTGGAAACAAATGAAAATGAAGAAACATCTTACCAAAATCTCTGGGATGTCATGAAAGCAGGACTAAGAGAAGAATATACAACTCTATGAACACACATGAAGAAAATGGAAAAATCACCTAAGGAAGCCGAAAAAGCAAGACCACCAAGACCCTAGCTCCAGCAGAAGAATCCAGATCACCAAAGTAAAAGCCCAAATTTGGGGCACAGAAGACAAAAATATAAAACAAAAAAATCAACACAACAAAAAGCTGGTTCTTTGAAAGGATAAACAAGATTGATGGACACCTAGCCAGACTGACCAGGAAAAAGAGAGAAGAAGTCTAAATAAACACAATCAGAGCTGCAAAAGATCAAGTCACAACTGAACCCAAAGAAATACAAAAGATTATCAGAGATTACTATGTTCACTTGTATGGAAACAAACTTGAAAACCTAAATGAAATGGAGGACTTTCTGACATCACACAACCTCCCCAGGTTGAAGCAGGAAGAAATTAAGACCCTAAATAGACCAATAACAACCCAGGAAATCAACTATGTCATAAGAAAACGACCTAAAAAAAAACCCCTGGACTACATCACTTTCCAGCAGAATTCTACAAAACATACGAGGAGGAGATACTACCAATTCTACTGAAAGTATTCCAGGCAATCGAGAAAGATGGAACACTCCCCAAATCATTTTATGAAGCTAACGTCACATTGATACCCAAACCAGGTAAAGATCCAACAAAGAAAGAGAACTACAGGCCAACATCCTTGATGAACATAGATGCTAAAATTCTCAGTGAGATTCTAGCAAACCAGATCCAACAACAATCTCAAAATCATCTACCATGACCAAGTAGGCTTCATACCCAGGATGCAGGGCTGGTTCAACATCTGCAAGACCATAAATGTAATTAAATACATCAACAGATGTAAAAACAAAAACCACATGATTATATCATTAGATGCAGAAAAAGCTTTCGATAAAATCCAGTACCACTTCTTGATAAAAACCCTCGAACATCTAGGCATAGATGGAACATACCTCAAAATAGTAAAAACCATCTATGAGAAACCCACAGCCATACTGCTAAACAGAAATTGGAACCATTTCCCCTGAAAACTGGAATAAGACAAGGATGCCCACTCTCATCCCTCCTGTTTAACATAGTATTGGAAGTCCTAGCTAGAGCAATCAGACAAGAGAAGGAAATCAGGGGTATCCAAATAGGAAAAGAGGAAGGTAAGCTATCCCTCTTTGTAGATGATATGATTCTATACCTCGAAAACTCAAGAGAATCTGTCAAAAACCTCCTTGCACTGATAAAGGACTTTGTCAAAGTCTCAGGGCATAAAATAAATGTGCAAAAGTCAGTCACATTCTTATACATCAATAATAAACAGAAACTCAAATTAAAAGCACAATCCCATTCACAATAGCCACAAAAAATAAAAATAAAAAAAACCTTGGCATCTTCCTAACTAGAGAAGCCAAGGATCTTCACAATGAAAACTACAAAATGCTGTTAAAGAAATCAAAGATGACACAAACAGGTGGAAAAGTATTTCATGCTCGTGGACTGGAAGAATCAACATTGTTAAGATGTCCATCCTACCCAAGGCAATCTACAGATTTAACACAACACCCATTAAATTACCAGCAGCATTCTTCTCAGACCTGGAAACGACAATACAGGAATTCATATGAAAACATAAATGACCACAAATCACCAAAACAATCCTCAGCAAAAAACAAACAAACAACAACAAAAAAAAACCAAAGTAAGAGGTATCGCATTCCCAGACTTTAAACTTTATTATAAAGCTACAATAATCAAAACAACCTGGTCTTGGTACAAGAACAGGCATACAGACCAATGGAACAGGATAGAGATTCCAGAAGCAAAACATCAACTTCTCAACCAATTCATCTTTGACAAAGTCTCCACCATCAACCACTGGGCAGAGGAGGACTTATTCAGTAAATGGTGCTGAGAAAACTGGCTGATCACATGCAGAAAATTAAAACAAGACCCCTACCCATCCCCACACATAAAAACTCTAAATGGATCAAAGACCTAAACATAAAACCTCAAATGGTAAGAACCTTAGGGATGCAGGAGACACCCTTATGGAAATTGGTACTGGCAACCAATTCCTGATCAAAAACCCAAGTGCCCCATGCCATAAGAAATAAGATAGACAAGTGGGACCTCATCAAACTGACAAGCTTCTGCTAAGTCAAAGAAACCATCAAGAGAGTGGGGAGGCAGCCCACAGTTTGGGGGCAAATATTTACCAACTGTATGTCCGACAAAGGCCTAACATCTAAGAGCTACAAGGAACTAAAATGTGCCAAAAAGAAAAAAACAAATAGTCAGCCCCACAACCAAGTGGGCAAAAGATATAAATAGACTAGACACTTCTCAAAAGAAGACATACGAACAGCCTACAGATACATGAAAAAATGCACAGCCTCACTAGTCATAAAAGAAATGCAAATTAAAATCACACTGAGTACCATCTAACTCCAGTCAGGATGGCCATCAACAATAACTCAAAAAACAATAGATGCTGGAGAGGATGCGGGGAAAAGGGAACACTTTTACACTGTTGGAGGGAGTGTAAACTAGAACAACCTCTGTGGAAAACAGTTTGGCGATTCCTAGAAGATCTAAAAATCAGCCTTCTATATGACCCTGCAATCCCCCTACTGGGAATATACCCGGAGGAACTCAAATCACTCTATGAAAAAGATGCCTGCACAGGCATATTTATTGCAGCATTCTTTACAATAGTAAAAACATGGAACCAACCGTGCGGCTCAACAAAAGAGGACTGGGTAAATAAAATGTGGTACATATACATGATGGAATATTATACAGCCATAAAGAAGGACAAAATTATGAACTTCGCAGCAACTTGGATGGGCTTAAGAGTCTATAATACTCAGTGACCTATCACAGAAACAAAGAATTGAGTACTACACATTCTCACTCAAAAGTGGACCTTGAACAATTATCATAATACTTTAAGAAAAGGATTGGCAATAGTTGGAAACTGCCAAGGTAGTAGGGATGGGATTGGCAGTAATGGGAAACTGCCAGGGGAGTGGGAGCATACCTTATCAGCAAGGGTACCTGCGTGATGAACATTTGTATACCTAACCCTGAGTTGTATCTTCAAAATTAAAAATTAAAAAATTTAAAACATGAAATACTAAAATTCAAGAATTGATAAACACCATGGAATATAAGGTTATCCTGAACTTTAAAAGCACTGATAGTCTGGACAGAACTTGTTATCTGAGGACCCTTGATCTTTCTACAGTTCCTTATTATTCCATCCATGTTATTGTGCTATTTTCAACTAGACTGTAAATTCCAAAATGTCAGAAATCATGCCTTCAATTTTCCATGTATCCCTCTGCATAACAAAAACCTGAGCAATACATACTGCTGGCTAATTGATGGGATTTATTTTGATAATATTAAAATGTTCTACCTTGGACTTAGCATATATGTACCTCTTTTGATAACCAATTCTTTCATTATCTTTAAGTTACTCCTCTGCTTTCTGCCATATTCACTTAGCAATGTAATGCTATGTCCTGATTTTAAACTATTCAAATGTTCCTGACTCTGTAACTGTTCTCCTTTCATCATGTGACTTATCCTACCTTTGTGCAGTGAGTCAATAGTATAATCATTTGCTAAATACGACGACCTATAGGTTACATATAATTCACAAGAATCAATATCTTACTGAATATCAAAACAGCAACATATTATTTTTAATTGGTTTAATCATATTACTTCTTAAATAGGCAGAGTTCACTTAATCTCAAAATGTAGAAAAGTCAAAATATTACCTATATTTGCTTCTTATTAATTAATGTGGCATATTTAAAGTTCTCTCAATATACAATTCAGCCTAAAAGCTTCCTAAATTCCAAGGTAGTAGGGGTGGGATTTTTGAGTAAAAGATTTATGAAGTATAATAACAGAAAAGTATTTCTGTTCAGATGAGCTAAGTAAGTTGAGTGATAATTAGTTTTTAAATCATTAGTATCAAATACAATGTAAGTACTTCTTTTACACATGACAAGTTCTATATCTATAAGAGTACTTGATAGGATAAAAAATTTAATTTCACACATAAAAGTGTCAGGAAAGCATATCTTATATAGGCAATATTTGAATAAATGAAAGAGGAGCCTCATGATGCTTAAGAAAGAAGATCTCTTAGAAAATGGATAAAAGACCTAGAATCAAAATCAGAAGACTCCTAAGGAAGAGGTGGCAAAAGTATATGGGTTAAATAAGAAAAAGATCAAGAGTTAAGAGATGCAAGAGTGTTTGTTGGGTAGACTGCTTTGTCTAAATTATAGTGCTTCTTAAACTTTTCAGGATGACAGGCTCTTTCAGTGTATTCTGAATGCTATGATACCACTCCCCAGCAAACAAACTCGATCCAAGGATCTCAGATAAAGGAATTCTAGTATAAAGACACTTAGCAGAAATTACATTGACCAAAAGAGCATAATTTATACTAACCATATTGATTTCTTTCAGCTAGTTAAATCTCATTATCAAATTAACGCTAATATTCCTTCAAAAAATACATAATACCTATAGTTTTACTACCCTAGGCTAGATTAGGTATGGAAAAAATAAGTTTTCATTAGAATTATTATACTTAAGCATAAGGAATTAAAGAGGTGAAATAAATGAATAAAATTCAATTTAAAAAGGAAGAAAAGAAAGAAGGGATTGAGAGAAGATGTAAAGAAAGAAGTGAATAAGATAGGAGGAATGAATAAGTAGTTACAGAGGTCACAGTGGTATTTCATCACTTATAAAGACAGTAATCTCTTGGTATCTATGAGGGACTAGTTCCAGGATTCCCCTCAGATACAAAAGTCTACAGATATTCAAGTAGTACAGTTATTTTTATTACAGGTATTCACAATCTGCTATGTATCGCAATGTTTATATCTACTATAGAAAAAGCTAATAACATGTGGTAAGCCAACCTACAGACTATCATATTTTTTTTCTTTCACTAAAGTAATTTATATGGCTGGCCATAAGCAGATATACTTCTAAAATGTTCTCATAGTAAGTGTTTTATTAAATATTTTTATAAATAACTAACAATTATGAAATAGAGGAAAAAACTGACAGAATAGTTACCTAAATTACATCATCTTCTTTCCATTACATATTTACAACTATCTCATTTTCTGTCAAAAAGTTCTCATTTTAACAAATTTCTAGAAAATTTTGCCTTCTGTAATTATCTCTCTTTTTTCTAAATATTTTTCTTTTTTAGTTTCTCTGACTGTACTCTAATCCAATATTTGGATTGTTACTATTCAGATAGTATTCAAATGAAGTATATTAGGTTTCTGTGTTGTGTCATTTGTTTAGATATGTTTCCTCAGTGAGCTGTCTCAAATGAATAGATTTAGACCCAAATTATATTAGCAAAGGATTTTTTTTTTTTGAGTCGAGGTCTCATTCTGTTGCCCAAGCTGGAATGCAGTGGCACGATCATAGGCTCAGGCAATCCTTCTGCATCAGGCTCCTGAGTAGTTTGGGACTACAGATGCATGCTACAACTCCTAGCTTTTTTAAAAAACTTTTTGTCAAGACTGGTCTTGAATTCCTAGGCTCAAGCAATCCTCCTGCCTTGGCCTTCTAAAGTGCTGAGATTACAGGTGTGAGCTACTGTGTCTGGCAAGCAAATGTTTTAAATATGTAATTTTTCCTGATTAGACAGCTCACTAAGGAAACATATCTAAACAAATGACACAACACAGAAACCTAATATACTTCATTTGAAAACTATCTGAATACTAACAATCCAAATATTGGATTAGAGTACAGTCAGAAAAACTAAAAAAGAAAATATTTAGAAAAGAGAGAGATAATTACAGAAGGCAAAATTTTCTAGAATCAACCAGGAACAAAGGGGGAAAACATCATTCAAGAAAAAAAGGTCCATTTTGAGAATTTAGAATAACAGAATTTAAGAAACAGAGGGGTTGTTATAAAACATATGGCCCAAACCTCTCATTTACCTGTGAGAAATCTGAAGCATAGACAGTTATTACATCTTGACCAGAAAAGTAATATCTCAAACCTGTGGGCTCAGGAAATTCTCTCACCTCAGCCTCCCAAGGTGCTGTGATTATAGGTATGAGCCACCGCACCCAGTGAGAAAAGTAATATCTCTATTCAGTGGCAGGTGATTGACCTAGAACTCAGATTTGATGGCCAACTGACAAATATCTATAATGAAGACATAGTGACCTGTGATGATACTATATTACATTTTCATATACATAATTGTGACTTGGGAGTAAACTAGTGATAAAAGTGAAGGTTATATTGAATACATTTCATGAATTTATAATTGGTTCTCTCTTCTTTGAGAGGAATAGGGACAAAAAGAGAAAAGTAAGAGATAAACAAGTCTGCAGGTATTTTATTATTTGCTCACTACTTTAACACGATTTTTATAACTTATCTAAGTTTAAGGCTCACAGCAAAGGCAAAACACAAATATAAAGGGATAAAGGCCAAGGTTTAGAAACAGATATAGAAGGCCTTATTGTGCACAGAAAACATTTTTAACTTTTTTTAGCTTGTAGGTGTTCCAATTACAATTAAAATACTAGTAACTTGCTTTGCCTTTAAAACACCTACTCTTATTCACTTATATCCCCAACTTAAATGAGCTCATCAAACTACTAAGTGACAAAATTCAAAAAAGAGACTAACCTTTTTGAGAGCACCCATGTGTTTCCAGGCTGATCTATCTTCTTCACTGCATTTGACTGAAAGTGCAGCAAGAGCCTGTGTGTACAGTAGGGTAAAAAGTACCTTCACAATGCAGGTGAAGTGGTCTGCAAGAAAAAAAAAATCATTATTTCTTTGGAACCTGGACATTTTGTACTCAAGATAATTTCATAAATATATGCCTTTCCTTGCACATATGACTGGTTTTTGTTCAACATTTAAGTAGTTAATAAAATGAAATCATAATGCACTATCATATTTCCTGCCCAACAGATCTGAAATTATAAAAACAAAGTTCCTCTCTATTCATCCACAGAATATATAAATTAGAGGCATTTAGTATAGTGGGAAGACCAGTGCTAATGGCCGCTCAACTCTGGAATAGCTATGAAACCTTGGCAAATCCCCTTACTGGGCTTCAGATGCTCTGTAATAATGTCTTGGGAATCTCAGTGTTTAAAACTAATACATAATCTACCTCTAATATGACATAGATCTTATAAAGAATATATAATATAGAAAATGATATAAAATCTTACAAGGTTAAAAAATAAAATAAAATCCAGTGTTTAAGTGACTAATTGGGTTTCAGCATTCAATGAAAACTACAGCAATAATGAACAGTAGTAACAATATGCAAAGTGGCTGGCAGCTTCTGGCACATTTTAGGTACTTAATAAATGAAAGCTTTAATAATCATAATTAACATTTATATTTACCTAATAACTTAGAAAATTTCTTCAAGTGTCTCATTCAATCCTCAAAACAGTCTCAATTGGATAATTGACCATCAGAAGGATGTGCTTGTGATATCAAAGCTAATAAGCACCCACGTCTGAACTTGAATCCATATAGATCATTTTTCTTCAGGTTCAGTATTCCTTCTATTATATTATGCTCCTCCCCTAGTAAATGGATACTACCATTTAATCAGTTGTTGGATTCAGAAACTTGTAGACATCCTTGATACTTTCCTGTCTCTTTCTCCCCATATTAAAATAATCACCAAATCCTGTTAATTCCACTTTTGAAACATCTCTCAAGTCAATTCCAACATTCTAGATCAGACTTTCATCCTTTCTTGCCTAGATCTATAATCCCAGACTATGTGGTTGTGTTGGGAGTCCCCAAGACCACTTCCAGGTTTGATGAATCACTAGGACTCATATGACTCAGTACGGTCATAATTTATGACACCAAAAGGATACAAGTTAAAATCAGCAAAGTAAAAAAGGCACAGTGGGTGAAGTCATAAATTTTACAGAGTCATGTCCCAGTGGAGTCACATAGGATATACTTAACTCCTCCCCTAGTAGCTAACTCCCCTAGCAACAAGGTGAAATGTATATGTGAAATGTATACCAAGGAATCTCATTAGAGACCCGGTACCCAAGGTTTTTACTGGGGTCATGCAGGTACCTTCTGTCTTGCATAGACCAAAATTTTAGACTCCCAAGAGGAAACCAGGTGTATTCAGCATAAACCATATTGTTTGTACAAACCGTTTAGGCATAGTAAGCCACTCTGATCAATTCTGGGAATGGTGGGACACCTCCTGAAATCCAAGTTCCCAGATTCCAGTCAAAGTCCAACTTTGCAAGCAGGTCTTTCAAATAATAGCAGTCAGGCATTCTGTGTCAATTCTTTTCTGCACAGCAGTTTATATGCATCACCTCTTTGCCCCTTGAAATCTACTTTCTTTATAACAGCCAGAATGATATTTTTGTCCAACTTTATTAAGGTATAATTGACAAAAAAATTATATAAATTGAAGGTATACAATGTGATGTTTTGGTATCAGTACTCATTGTGAAATGACTGCCACAATCAAGCTAATTAACAGTTACCTTTGTGTATGTATGTGTGTGACTACTTAAGATCTACTCTCTTAGCAAACTTAACCCTATGTACTTGGAGATATCTGTGGATCATCTACCAGCAACTTGACCACACTTTTTTATGAAATAGTGAAAAATAAATCACTTCATATTAAATAATACCAATTATTGGAACCAATTATTTTATTGTAATGATATTTGGCTTATAATGGAATTTTGGACATGAGGAACTCATTTATGGTTTAAAAAAATCAAAATTTTGTATCTTATATTTTTTTAATGTGTGATAATGTGTGAAATAGTCACCGACATGCATTGCAGGTTCACCAATACATGTTGTACAATAGCAATATTTTTTACATCTTCCATATGGTATTTTTCTATTTGAGCAGACAATGCAATCTTGTTTTCTTCTTCCCACATTAATAATATGTATTTTATCATCTATTCTGTTGTTAGAAGATGTGGAAGGATACACTTGTGATTCCAGAAAACCACTCCTCAACTGATTGGTCATTATATCAGTATATATTCCATGTCTTCATTTGCTTTTTCGTGCAATTTGAATGGAAAACATCAAGAAAACATACATTTTAAAAAAAATCTGTACTTGCATAAGTTTATCCTGTATAATCATCAGCAATCTCTTTATGACCCTGAGAAGGGACATCAGAGTGGTTTGCTAGATTTACAATGTTTCCTCAGGGAGGACCCCATCTGAGTGTAAAGGGTTAAGCATATAAATACAGTATTATTATTATTTTTCTGAGTAGGAGCCTCACTCTATCGCCTAGGCTGGAGTAAAGTATTATTAACTATAGTCACCGTGTTGTACATTACAGCTCCAGAACTTACTCACAACTAAAAGTATGTACCCTTTGACCAACATCTTCCCACTTCTCCCACCTCCCTGGTCCTTATTAAACACCTTCTACTCTCTGTTTCGACTAGTTTAGATTTCACATAAGTGAGATCACACAGTATTTATCTCTCTGTGACTGGTTCATTTTATTTAGCATAATGTTCCTCCAGGTTCATCCATGTTGTCGTAAATGGAAAGATTTCCTTCTTTTTCAAGGCTAAACAACATTCCACTGTATTTATAAATTACATGTATCTCTTCATTTACTGATAGACACTTCAGTTGTTTCCATATCATGGCTACTATAAATAAAGTTGCAATGAACATGGCAGTACAGTACAGATATTGTTTTGAGATAATGATTTACTTCTTTTGAATATACACCCAGAAGTGGGATGGCTGGACCATATAGTAGTTCTATTTTTAGTTTTTGAGGAACCTCCACACAACTTCAGGACTCTTCCCGAACTAAGGAAGAGCAATGAGGATGGAGAGAATGGGTCAAATTAGAGAAATATTTAGATGACAAAAATTATAGTATTTGGTAGAACTTTGGAGGGAGAGGGTGATGGTAGTATCTCATTGTACAAAAGTTAGAGAATAAGCAACTACAATGAAAAGCAGAGGAAAAGACCAGACTTGGAGAAGAAGAAAATTATTATAATGCTATATATGTTGAGTTTGAGGCATGTATAAAAATTTGAGTCTAGAATTCACTGGGAAGTTGTAGCCTAGAGCTAAAGATTTGGGGATCATCAAAGAATAAGTGTAGCTGAAGTATTCAGAAAGAAGATAAAATTGAGGAGGAAGGAGAAAGGAACTAAAGAACAATTCAAAGAGTGGTGAGAGAGAAGTGAAAGAAAAAGAGGCCAAAAATGAGTAGAAAGAGAGATAGAAGAACCAGGAAAGGATAGTGCCATCAAAGCCCAAAAAAAAGAATTTTCCATCATTTAATTAAATATTTTAATAGAATGATCAAAATTACAGAATTTGTCTAAGCACAAACAAAAATATCCTAACCAGAAAGTCATTTATATTGCTCTGAAACACCACTCACATATAGCTTTTTATTGTAAAAAAAAAAAAAAGATATTATATTTTAACTAAAAAGAAGTAATGCACTAAAATAAATGATAGCTACTTCAAGCGTATTTTTAGCTTTTCACTGTAGAAGAATACAAATTTCTGGTTTTAGTCAATTTGTCTGTCTTGATTATCATCATTTTAAAAACACAGCCCTTCCTACCTCTGGGTTCCTCATCCGTGGTTTCAACCAACCATGTGTCAAAAATATTTGGCAAAAAAATAGATGAATGGTTGTGTCTGTACTGAACATGTGTATACTTTTTCTCTTCTCATTATACCTTTAAAAACAGTATAATAACTAGTTATATAACATTTGCATTGTAGTAGGTATTCTAAGTAATCTAGAGACGCTTTAAACTATATGGGAGGACATGTGTAGGTTATATGCAAATACTATTCCGCTTTTCCATAAGAGACTTGAGCATCTGTGGATTTTGGTGTGGGGGGGAGGGGGGTTGGAACCAATCCCCAGCGAATACTAAGAGACTACTGTATTTACACTGGTAGTTTAAAGTCACAGCTTAAGCTTATGCTCTCTTGCTCACTTGTTCATTTAACAGATATTTATTTACTGCAAGCTTGTCATGTGTGAAACCAGTGTCTTTTAGGGACTTAGAAAAATAAGGAATCATGAGGTTTATATTAGGTCAACAGATTGCTATCTCCCAATGTTACAACAGAAAGAAAAGCTCTTCAAATACAATTATCAAAATTTTAAAAGAAGAAAAAGATTTTGTTTCAAAACAAAAAACCACTATTGAAATACCTGAGTTTTAAAAAGAGCATACAAGTAACCATAAGATGACCTAAAGCCAGTATCAGACATTTTATTCTTTTCCTAAATTTACCATGAAAATTTTTTGTAAAAATATGTATTATTTCATTGCTTCCCCATAAAGCACTTTGCAGATACCATAGGTAAACATCAAATCTTCTTAATCTTTTACGATTTGAAATTACTAACTACATGTGTTCTGACCCTTTCCAAAAAGTCTAGTCTACAATAAAAATTAATTTGCGATGTGATTTTCTGTGTGATAAACAAAGCCTATTTTCTCTTTGATGAGTGAAGAACCCAAACAGTTTAATAAGATATTATTTGCCTCAATCATCATAGACCAAGAAAAGATCCCAAGTCCATCTAACAACAAATAAGGTAGTTAATGCTGTTCCCTTGGGCATTAACTTCAGGCAATTGAATTGTGGGTCTAATAAATTGCCAACCATCTAAAAAAAACATGATATAGAAGTGATAACAACGTAAGATCTAAAGATTCAAATGAAAGTAATAGCTTTCCTGATTTTCAAAACAGAAAATAAG